ACAAAACTCAAAAAGGGAACATCTTAATGCAATATCAATATCAAATGAACTAATTCATCACCTGTGTATCTAATATTAAAACCTCAGACCATTCATTGAATATTAAGTCAGTCTCTCTCTCTCTCTCTCTCTCTCTCTCTCTCGTTGATGTCATTGAGTATCATCAGGTCAGAAGCGACCCATAGCTGACCCTCCAGCAGGTTGTCAGAGGCTGTTAACCTCACAGGAGGGTATTGACCAACCTTTTCCTTGGGAGCAGTTGGTCAATTAGAATTGCTTGCTTTTGGTATTACAGTACTGTTTATTACCACTACACCACCATTTGTCAACAAATCAAACATATCATGTTAAACTTCTAAACCAAAGAGAAAAGTATTTAAGTTTGTGAAAAAATTATATTCCTAATTATAATCAGAATGCCTTTGTGTTACAGTGGTGGAGAAGAGTATTGAACATACACCATGGACTGCCAAGAGAACAAACAGGTCTGAATTAGAGAGGATGAAACTAAGTTTCTCCTTGGAGGCAAGAATTTTGAAGCTCCATCTTACATACTTTGGGCAAGTGGCCAGGAGGGACCAGTCCTTGGAGAAGTACTTGGAAGTGTGGAGAGACAGCTCAAGAGAGGAAGAGCTTGGATGAGATGGATTGACACAGTAATTTAACTGGGGTAAGGGGGATAGGTGTGTCAGAGTCAATGAGACTGGCTCAGGATAGGGCAGAGTTCAACAACAACAACTTACTCAGAGAGACAACACAGAGATTAAACAAATAATACATATCCTTCCTTTCTCAGAGATTCCTCAATGAAGATGTGTGCAGACTATGCTAAGTGACCCCAAAGGCCTGAATTCAAACTTCAGGAGCTCGGAGAATAGATCATTCAACATTGTCTGAGAGAAAGAAGACTGTTTCATAGTGGAATTGGCTTCAGGGGACTCTGAAGGTAAGTAAAGATTCTATGGATGGAGTAAGACAAAGAATTTCTATGTAGAGTAACCACAGAGAGTCACAAACATATGATAGTTCAGCAGGGAGAGAGTGAAAAGAAATTAGCATGGTGGTTGGGTGGTGGTGTGGATGAAGAAAAGGCAAACTGAGAAGGGCAAACAAAAGGAAGCTTTCACACATCCCTGCTCTCCCTCTCTGTCTACTACTACTACTATTAATTGTCATCTAGTTGGAATTGACTCATAGCTGACTCTCCTGTGGGTTTTCAGATGGTGTTAATTTCACAGGAGAAGATAGCTCCTCTTTCTCAAGTGGAACAAATGGTGGATTTGAACCATGTGCCTTTGGGTTGGTAGTGGAACTCCTTAGCACTAGCCACTAGGGTTCCCATGTGTGTACATACATACATACATATGCACATATGTGTGGGAGTGGGTGGGCTTTGTCTCCCTGAGTGATTGGTGTAGGAGCATTTTCTCATGTGGGTTAAGAAATATTTTAACACAAGTAATACAAGTTATTATGAAAAGTAAGATTGTATTTCTTTTTAAAAATGAATTATTTATGATAATTCCATTTTCACAGTGCTTAAATGGAATGGTTTTTGGAGTATCAGGTGGCTGTTTTTGTTAATTGCCATCAAGTTGATTCTGACTCATGGTGATCCCATGTGAGAGCAGACAGACCTGATTCATAGGACTTTTCAGGCTGTGACGTTTCTGAAGGAGATCAACAGACCTTACTTTGGAGGTGTTCATGGGTGAGTCTAACCTATCAACTCTCTGGTTATTAGTTCAATGTTAACCATTTATGCCACCCAAAGAATATTAATAAACTCTTTTTAAAGGCAGAAAATTGCTTTATTATTACTAATACAATACATGTTACATTCAAAGATAGCAGGGGCTACTGCATAGGATAAAAAATGATTGTAAATTTGTTAACTATTATACCAGTTTTATATAACTGCAAATTACTTCAATTTTACCTCTTAGAATAGCTATTATCTAATACTGATGATGGATAAAGTGATTTGGACAACTGGGCCAACACTTACTGTGAGCAGAAGTCATTACAAGATTTTCGCCCTAGTTCTCAGTGTGTAACTTGACAGAGGAGATATTTTTAAAGTTATATTATGAGAACTACAAATTAATTATCAATTGTCATCATTTTGTTCTTTTCTTCCAATAATTTAAATGTAATTTTCTCACTAAAATTATTTCAAAATAGCTGAAAATACTACTAGAAATGATTTTGTGTTTTGTAACACATTTAATTAGTATGACCTGTGCCTTTGGAAAAAAAATGAAAAAGCAAAGTGATTAATTGTCAGTAGGATGAAGAACCTCTTCAACTTTCAAGTTTCTTCAAGTGGACACTCAAGTATTAGGAATGGTAAGTTTTACCCACTGTCAGCAAATATTTAAGAAATGCAATTTTGAGAAGCACACTGGAGATAGATTTATCAGAGAACAATTTTTTTTTCTTCTTTCTCTTCAAAAAAGAAATACCACCCATTTGAAAGGCCTGGCTCCATATCCTATGTTTCTGTAAAGTTCTCTTTTACTGTTCTGACACGTGAAGTTCTATTCCATCTCTGAATTTCATAGTTCTTAGAGAAAGTGCTGTTATTACAAAAACTAGCCAGATGCTTCCAGGAACTGGTATACTATGTAAAAGTCTTTTATTCCTGATAAGATAAAACATTCCTCAAAGACACAGATTATGCTATATGATTTGGAGAAAGCCAAGAATTTTCCAAATATCAAGTAATATTGAGAAAAGCATCAACAAAATTCCCATTAAAAGCACTTAAATGTGACTGTAAATATTCTCTGTAAGACTGGCTCTTGACTGGCAAAAAAAAAAAAAAGGCATAAAGAGTAGGACACTCCTTAATAGTGGTGCAAATTGAGGATCTATAGTGATATTTTCCTACTTAAATCTCATAGAATAAGATTCTTAATGAAATCTCAAAGAATGCTCTTGTTTCTACTCATTATTTTAAATGCATATAATTAATTCTTTCACCAAGACACTATGTACCTTAAGTGTCCTTAAACGACAGAAGCAACAGTTCCATCAATTTTCCATTCCAAATAATGATCAAGACTTGCTTACGCAGAAAATTTGCAAAGAAGAAATATGATTGCTTGATTTTGCCATTATCACATTTCCAACTGGTTTAAAGTTGAGATAAATTAGAATGCAAAACACAGAAGACATTCTGTGAATCCAATCTACACCTTAGCATTTTAAAAGAAGTTTGTGGCAGTTGTTATTTGCAGGGTTCTTTGGAAGCACTTTAAAAATCAATTTACATGGTTTATAAAATGTGCTCTAAATAGGCATCTAAGCAAGATATAGGAAAAACTCAGTAGAAAGGTAAAGACTTATACCGATAGAACTAGATCGATCACTTTGTCCTTTTAGAGCTTGAAATTATTCTCTTCAAGGTTCTTTGAATAATCTGTCTTCACTATCAAGTGTTTCTAAAGATATAAATATAGTCCTAACCACTGTATCCTCTGTAGAGTTGTTTAAGATCACATTTTTACATAATGGTCAGACAGTTAATGTTATTTGTCTGTGCCTCACTCAGATGAGAAGCATGGAATTTTGACTTAAAAGAAAACAGCTATAATTAAATTGAAGAATCTAGTGAAAAAGTTATTATTCCTATAGAGAATAGAATTGGTTTACCAAATCATGCTAACTCAGTTGTGTTCATCTCCTATCTTACAGTGAATATTTTTGGAGCTACTTGCCCTGTTATGAGACATGTTACATTGCAATCCCAAAGGTATGTGGTTCAAAACCACCAGCTGCTTCACAGAAGAAGGATGACTTATCTTCACCCATGTGATTCACTGCCTCTGAAAACCCACTGGAGGGTCAACTATGGATCAGTTCTAACTCGGTAGCACACAACAACAACAACAATAATGACATAGGAAGACTTCCTAAGACTGTTTAGGAAGAGTAAGAGTATGTTCCTTAGCTGTTATCTTTATCCATTTTTGAGAATGATGAATTTTCTGCTCCTCATATTTGCAGCCATTTTTTTGGCTAGATCATTTGGAGAAAATACTTTTTTGGTAACATGTTGCATTATCTAATTGAAAATTCTAATTCAAAGTCCAGGTAAAAATTCCTTTCATGTATTCTTGTACACACTTGTAACTTGCCACTATTAAAGGAAAAATCTAAGATGCCACAGGCAAGACAAAAACTCCTTTTAAAACAACAACAAAGTGAAATAGAGAGAATAACTATAAGAAAGAATCATTCAGAAGGTGCAAGAAAATGTGCAACATGAAATGTGCAAAGAAAATATGGCGGGCAGGGAAGAAAAGAAAAGAAAGACTCATTCAAAACTTTTAAGTCAGAGGAGCCCTTTATACCTACATGAACTCTTCTAATGTCTTATCCGGACCATAAACAATTCACTGAATTTTTTTAAAGACAGAAGTTTCTGGTTTTTATTTGTTTGAATTTTTTTTTTTGTCTGTTTGCTTGTACAAAGCCTACTCTGCAGACTACAGTATTTTTAAATGTTTCATTAATCAAACAGCAATCTATATACAACCACAAAATAAGTTTCAATTTATTTATCTGATCGATCATTAGCCTAACAGAAACAAACATTATAGTAAACCAAAGAGCAAAGTATGATTAATCCAATTTATGCCATCTCATCACATCTCCAGATTTACCCTGCTTTGCTCCAAACATGAACAGTCTATTGGAAAATAGGAAAATCATTTAAAAATTATCGAAATATTTTAAACAAAAAGTTGGAGCTGACTGTTGTTCATTTGAATTCATTTCTAAAATGTGACTTTCTAACAGCCTGATGTTTTCCTGGAAGGTTAAGGGTAACAAAGATTAATGTTTCACAGTAGGTAGTTTCTTGGTAGTTATTTTTAATAATTCAGTAATTGTGGTAAGTCTAGTTACCACAGATAATAAAAAAATAAATGTGGTTTCATACTCACATGGAAGCAATGCCTGAGCATTTGCTATAAATTTGGATTTGTACTGACCTTCAGGTTGGTATTGTGCTATAATGGTCACTGTCTGTCCAGCTCCCTTTAATGCCGCAGCTGCCTGCTCATGGGATGCTCCACGGAGGTCAATGCCATTCACCTGAAAAAGAGGATCAGAAAATTTTGATTGTTTCTGGGGGTTTTCATTCTGATCATCAGACGAAAAAATATTCTCAAATTTGAGACCTCTCTGAAGAAAATAATATCACGTGCTTCAAATATCCTTATGCTCTGCACAAGAGTTTGACTTTTAAACGTTCATGGTCTTGACATGTGTTCATTAGCTGAAGCATGCTCTGATGGTATTTATTCATGGTCTAGCCAACTGGGAAATGTTCACCTATCTGTGCCTACTACCAGAGTTTTAGTGTGTATAATGACTTTGTCTCTAGGGGTTGTCTAGATTTCTCATATGGATAAGAATGTTCATAATTAGGAGGAAAACAAAATAATAAAAAGAGACACATGTAACATACATAGGCAAGTATGTGCTGACAGAGGAATATATTCAGATGAGGATCTGGGGAGACTGCATGGGACTGGCTGCCTGCCAAATCCCTTTCTTTCTTTGGCCACTTGCCTGGACCTGTCATTCTGAGCTTGGTTAGAGAGCCCTGAGCCTTGTTCCAAAACAAACCTGACTGTCCCAGTTCTCATACACAATTCCAGAATGAATTCTGACAAAATGAAATGAAGAATATCTGGAGTTTATATAGCTATTGCTAACTCCAATTTAGGGGCCTATGCTAAAGAAAAACAGGGTGTCTGAAAAACAAGCACCAAATTTGGTCAGGTGGTGGGGGGAAACCTCTTAAATCAAATCAAATGAGAAGCAGAAGATAAATCTTCCCTGAATAAATTCCTTCTAAGTCAACACAACATAATTATTGGATGCTCTCCAATGGCAGGGCCCCATGTCTTTCCCAGCCTGCCCCAAATATGAATGATGTATGAGGACAAGATGATCAAGTCAAGCCCTCAAGCAACTTTTCTACTTGAACACACAGTAAGCTGAGTTCTCTATCTTACATTGAACGGAACTCTGATGGCCTAGTGACAGGAAGCTGTGCTGCAATCCCAGGTTTTTAAAGATGATGTCAGAAATGGGCTTCTTAGGCTATTACAATAGAACTGATTGGTTTATCTACTCGTAAAGTTGTATAATCATATAATCACTGTTTACCTCTCTCTAATCCTTCTTGACAATGTGTTTTGTGGATGATTGAGAAGTTACTTTCTTAATATAGTTTTCCTGTTAGGCATGGGATGGGTATTCACAACTTCAATTCTACCTTTTCATCTTCTCATAACTGTTGTTTTTAGGGGGTTTTAGTTGATTCTGACTCAGAGAAATCTTATATACAATAGAAGGAAATATTGATCGATCATGTGCCACCCTTACAATAATTGTGAGATTTGAACCCATTGTTTCAGTCATTGTGTAAATCTACCCCATTGAGAATCTTCCTCTTTCTTGCTAACTTTACCAACTCCTTCTCCAAGGACTCTTCTGATAAATATGTCCAAAGTATATGAGATATACTATTGCAACTTTTTTCTTTTAATGGAGCATTCTTTCTTTCTTCTAAAAACAGATTTATTCATTCTCTGGCAGGCCATATTCTTTACAAATACCATAGTTCGGGGGGGGGGGGAGGGATTGTGTACCAAAGAAGAAGTTTATCTTTTGCTTTTCAAAGAGAGAAGCAAACTGGGGTGAGGGGGGAAAAGAAAAAAATGCAACAATGAATGAATGAAAATTCAAAATCTCTGTAAATGTTCATTAAAATGAATAAAAAACCCACAAATACCATAGTTAAAATGCAGCAATTGTTTAGTCTTGCTTATTCATTGCTCATGTGTGTTACTGTGTACTGTCGAATTAGAGCCAACTCACAGCTGTTCCTCCAGTGGGTTTACAGAGGCATTTAATCACCTGGGAGAAGACTCCCCCAGTGTGACGCAATTTTTAATTTTTTGACTATTGTTGCCATGGGTTTAGATTGTGGATTTGTTGCCATGGGTTTAGATTGTGGATATAAGTAAAATGAAACCATCGACATTTTAAATCTTTTCTCCATCAATTATGATGTTGCCTATTCGTCCAGTGGAGGGGATTTCTGTTTTCGTGATGTTGCAATGTAATCCATACTGAAGGGTCGTTTTGATCTTCTGCAATAAGTGCTTAAGGTCGTCTTCACTTTCAACAAAGTTATGTCATCTATATAAGACAGGTTGTTAATGAGTTTTTCTCCAATCCTAATGTCCTATTTTTCTTTATATAGTACATAAAGTTTGAATAGCTATGGAGAAATGATACAAACCACATGCATATCTTTCTTAATTTTAAGCTATGCAGCATTCTCTTGTTTGGACAATTGCTTCTTAATCTATATATGGATTTCACATGAGCATAATTAAGTGATCTGGGATTGCCATTCTTCTCACTATTATCCATAATTTTGTTTTTTAATTATCTATACTTCTATTTGGAAGCAGGAGTGGCATCCACTTCCTAAACAACATGCCTCTGGAAACTCTATGAAATTTGATAAATGATTATAGTTATAGAAAGCTTCAGTCCTTTTTTCCCCCATAGTGTTGCTATGAGTCGTGCTTGACTCAACAGCAATCAACAACAAAATACTCCTATACTCTATGCAAACTCCTTTGCATAATCAACAGAACACAATTAAATACATTTCTGGAATTTTCTAATTCCAGTCCTTTTTTTTTTCCAACTTTTTGCAAGCCAATTATTAAGAATACACCTTTATTGCATGTTCAATTTTAGACTGAAGAAGTTGGTAGAAATCTTCAATTTCTTCCTCTTTGGCTTTTGTAATTGGTGTATATATTTGAATAATAATTATTTTGACAAGACTCTCTTGTATGTATATGGAAAGTATGTTATCACTCATTGCATTGTACTTCAGGATAGATTTCAAAATCCTCTTTTTGATCATGAATACACCAAACTCTTCAACTTGTCATTTCTAGCATAGAAATATATCATGTGATTGGTTCAAAATGACCAATATCAATCTATTTCAGCTCGCTAAGGCTAGGATGGTGGTTTGATGTGTTCCATTTCATTTTTTATAAGCTCCAATTTTCCTAGAATAATACTTATTAAATTCCAATTTTAAGCAATGTTTACAGCTGTTTTGTATATTCTATGTTCCAATAGTTAATGGATGTTTGCACCACTTATTTTTCTTTTCATGTGTGTAGTCTCAATTTATGTTGTGGGAAAAAAATTGTTCTTTAATGAATAAATCCTTGAGCATGAGATATTCCAGCATGTGATCTCTGGCATTATTTCTATCACTTATGTTACATTTCCAACTGCTAATTTTCTTCCTTTGTTTTTAACTACCAAATTCCGATCAACAATAATTATCAATGAATCTTGATTGCATAGCTAATCTAGTTTAGGCCTTCAAAAACTGGTAAAATTCTTCAATTTCTTCATCTTTTACATTAGTTGTTAATACAAAAATTTGACTAAAAATCTTATCTGGTTGTCTTTATAAGAGTATGAGCATTATCCTGTTACTGGGAGGACTGTACTTCAGGGTAGATATGGAAATGGTCTTTTTGAGAATCCTCTCTATGCAGTATTTATCCTTATAAGACTGAGTTAGTTTACTCAGAATAATGCCCTCCAGTCTCTCTCAAGTTATGCAATAATTTTCAAAATCATTGCTCCTGAGTGCTGTGATTTTCATTGACTTTGCAAAGGCATTTGACTGTGTAGATCATAACAAACTATGGCTGACTCTGAGAAGAATGGGAATCCCAGAACACTTGATCGTTCTAATG